ATATTAATAATGTTAAAAGTGAAACAAGAATGTACAATGGTACATTGCTTCAACTAAAAACTGTTTTTAATAAATGAACAAAATACAGAAAAAACAGCAGAACAGCACATTCCTTCTTTGCTACAGAACATGGTAGAGTATGGTAAACAGAGCATAAGAAGGTTTAATGCTCCTGACAGTTGAGAGGAGCACAGTATGATATTCACATTCCTTGACACACCCCCTCATTTCAATGTCTCTTGAAATGTCAAAATGTAATCCTACATTTCAAACATTAATAGTACTTAATATGTAAGGACTTTCTATACATTTACACTATATCCAGCCAGTCACATAACATCAAACTTCTCTTTTCCCAAAGCTTTCATAAAAATGTTAGCAATATTTCCATTTGAGTTGGTATGTTCAATTGAAATTTCCTTGTTTCTACACAGGTCTTTGATGTAGTGATATCTTATATCAATACACTTACCTCTCTTTGAATTCTCAAACGTTTTCATCGTAGAAACCATACTTATGTTGTCAATTTTGAGGATTACAATATTACACTCACCAAATTTGGATAAAATACTTTTTAAATTCATTAATTCTTGATCTGCAATGGTAGCTGAAATATATTCAGCCTTCATGAATGAAAGAGCCATGCAGTTTTGTTTTCTGGAGTACTATGCAATTGGATTTCCAGCATGAAAACCAATCATTCCACTCACACTTTTCCTAGTTTTTGTATCTCTTCCTCTCCTCCCCACTCAGCATCACTCATGCCTACTAGATCATCTAAACCTTTCATAAAACGAAATGTAAGATATCTCGTGCAACTTAAATATCGAAGAATTCTTTCACCTGTCTTCCACAACTGATCTGTTGGTCTGTCTAGATATCAACTAAGACAACACACTATACACAATATCTGGCCTGCTTGTAACAGAAATGTACAGTACATCAGATTGCACATCAATCTGCAAAATGGATTTTCTTCATCAAATTGGATTCTGCTAAATGAAATTTCATTTTCGTAGGTGTGGCAACTTCACAACACTGTTCCATATTAAATTCAGTTAAGATATGGGTAATTATTTTGGACTGACTGATTTTTAATTCCTTTTCATCCTGATCAAACTTTATTCCTAAGAATGGTGAGACTTCTCCCAAATCTCTGACATTGAACTCTTTGTGCAGATCATTCATTAATTTGTCAATCTCTGCATCTTCAAACTGTGACAATCACATTGTCAATAAAAATAGTCAAGTAGGCACCATTACCTACATACAAACAGAAGTCATATTTTGACTTAAAATCTAAATTTTCCATTACTTCATTAAACTTGCCATTTCAACATTTTGGTGCATTTCTCAAGCCATACAATACTCTATTCAATTTCAATGTCCTTTTTGACATTTAAACCCTTCTGGTGTATTGATGTATACATCTTTTTCTAGATATTCATTTAGAAAGGCAGTTGTGAGTCTAAACGGATGTAGCTTCCAGTTATGCTGTACTGCCACAGAAAGTAAAATTCTAATTGTAGATGTTCTACAGACTGGCTCAGCAAAATTCTCCTTCTTCATAAGGTACTTGGAATCCTCTTGCCACTAACCTGTCCTTCTTTGTACCATCTCCTTTCATTTTAAATATTCATTTTGCATCTATAGCTATCTGGCTTTCTGGCAAATTTACAGGTGTTCACATTTGAAGTTTCTGATGAGAGTCTAATCCTTTCTCTATAGTTTTCCTCCACTCTGGTAATTTGCATGCTTCCTGATATGTTTTAGGCCCATCTGTTGATGATAAACAATATGCAGTATACAATTCAAAATCATTTAAATGGAAAAGTTTCTTAATGACAAAAGGGAAAATTCTAAAGTTAGAATTTTCCCTTTTGTCATTAAGAAACTTTTCCATTTAAATGATTTTGAATTGTATACTGCATATTGTTTATCATCAACAGACGGGCCTAAAACATATCAGGAAGCATGCAAATTACCAGAGTGGAGGAAAACTATAGAGAAAGGATTAGACTCTCATCAGAAACTTCAAATGTGAACACCTGTAAATTTGCCAGAAAGCCAGATAGCTATAGATGCAAAATGAATATTTAAAATGAAAGGAGATGGTACAAAGAAGGACAGGTTAGTGGCAAGAGGATTCCAAGTACCTTATGAAGAAGGAGAATTTTGCTGAGCCAGTCTGTAGAACATCTACAATTAGAATTTTACTTTCTGTGGCAGTACAGCATAACTGGAAGCTACATCCGTTTAGACTCACAACTGCCTTTCTAAATGAATATCTAGAAAAAGATGTATACATCAATACACCAGAAGGGTTTAAATGTCAAAAAGGACATTGAAATTGAATAGAGTATTGTATGGCTTGAGAAATGCACCAAAATGTTGAAATGGCAAGTTTAATGAAGTAATGGAAAATTTAGATTTTAAGTCAAAATATGACTTCTGTTTGTATGTAGGTAATGGTGCCTACTTGACTATTTTTATTGACAATGTGATTGTCACAGTTTGAAGATGCAGAGATTGACAAATTAATGAATGATCTGCACAAAGAGTTCAATGTCAGAGATTTGGGAGAAGTCTCACCATTCTTAGGAATAAAGTTTGATCAGGATGAAAAGGAATTAAAAATCAGTCAGTCCAAAATAATTACCCATATCTTAACTGAATTTAATATGGAACAGTGTTGTGAAGTTGCCACACCTACGAAAATGAAATTTCATTTAGCAGAATCCAATTTGATGAAGAAAATCCATTTTGCAGATTGATGTGCAATCTGATGTACTGTACATTTCTGTTACAAGCAGGCCAGATATTGTGTATAGTGTGTTGTCTTAGTTGATATCTAGACAGACCAACAGATCAGTTGTGGAAGACAGGTGAAAGAATTCTTCGATATTTAAGTTGCACGAGATATCTTACATTTCGTTTTATGAAAGGTTTAGATGATCTAGTAGGCATGAGTGATGCTGAGTGGGGAGGAGAGGANATATTGTTTATCATCAACAAAAAGGGAAAATTCTAAAGTTAGAATTTTCCCTTTTGTCTTCTCTTTCATCTTTTAGCTCACTGTTGTTATTGTTTCCTAGTATTCTTCCATCATCATCTTGCTCTTCTTCTTCAATACTGGGTGTAATATAGTTGGGGATACAACTCCCTCTTCTATTTGTTTTGATTTGGCTCTTTTGTTTCCTATATACTCCATACAGCTTTCATTAAAACATACATCTCATGATTTTACTATCGTTTCTTCAGCTGGGATCCACAACCTGTAGCCACTACTACAATATCCCATAATAACTGCACATTTTGTTCTTGCTTCTATAGTTTGTTTTGGTAGGATATTGAACCATGCTCGATATCCAAATACTTTCAGCTTGCTGAGAGCATTCCATCCATGCCACAAAATGATGGCGTTTTCTTTCTCTGAATAGTCCTTGTTAGATATCTATTTAGTTTCTAGGCTGAGCTCTTTAATGCCTCTCCCCATAACTCCTTTGGGATTTCTCAGTCAATGAGATTTGTATGAGTCATGTTTAATATAGTCTTATTCATGCATTCAGCCTTTCCTCCCATCTGTGGACTGTAACTCTTAGTGCATTCCAATAGTATACCATTGTTTTGCAAATCCTTTAAAACTATTTGAACCAAATTTGCCACCAATATCTAATCACAGTCTTTCCTCAGTAAGACCATGTTAAGCTTTAATTTCTTGAATATAATATATCAAGTTATCTTTTGCTTCACTCTTGTTCTTTACAATTTAACAATGACAAAATGTGAAAGTCATCTAAGATTACCTGAAGATACTTTTTACCACTAATTGCAGATGGCATAATTGGTCCACACATATCACTATATATAAGATCACCTATGGCAGCAGAGTGTCTTTCATTATGATAGAAAGGGACTCAAAAAGCCTTTCCTTCAATTTGAAACTGAATTCAAGCTGTCACAGCGCATCTCTTTGTGTAAGTGACCAAGATGTCAATACCACAAATTGTCTTCAGCTGCAGCATGACACTCTAATCATACTGTCCATGTTTTATTGTGTGTTCAACCCTTGTCCCTTGCATTATCAGATACCTATTATACAGTAAAACTATTTTTAACAGATTAAATTAATAATAATCATCCACATCAAGCTTAAAAAATAAAAAATTTAAAATAATAAAGTTGAATGTAGGCAGTCCTACTAATACCATGTCTATTTATAGGCCTACACAATTTTTTCAGCTTGTCTCCTCATCTAAATCATTGAGGGGACAAGCTGAAGAATAAATCATCTAAATCCCCTCATCAATGATTTATTCTTGGTTGTAGAACTACATCTTATCCATATAAACATTGCCGTATGTATACAACTCACAAATGTCTGTGAATTTCAATCAGTGTATAATCTTTCATTGCTAAAAAATTCAATTAATAATTGATATTTTTGTAAAGAATGAAGAAGACCACTATTTATTTATGTTTAAACTTGACTATTATAAAATGATTCAACATAATGAACTTAAACTGCAAACATACAGATTAGACACACATAGTTACTAAATGATTGTGGGCATATGTTTCCATCCTGAAACTTCATGGAATGCTATTGTAGGAGACTTTACTTATCAATCAGCCAACATAAATATGCAAGGTATAAATTACTGCAAATAATTTTCATTCTATTCGAAAAAACAAATCAAAATATTAATAACGAAGAATTTATTTGTTAAATATTAATTTGGATTTAGGATAAATGTATTGACTAATTCTTTACTGAGAGCTTTGATGTGCCATATGCTTTTAGGATTGTTTAACTTTTTTATCTAAATTGAATGCACAGATAATTTAGGTAAATAGTTTAACTTAATAGTTAAATCATTCATCTGATTATTTTATAAATAACATTCAAAATATTTTTATCATAATATACAAACAGTAAGTTTATCAATGAAAATAATAAAATTAATAAAATATTTAAAATGTTACTTTTTATCTAGAGTTAAAGAAAATTTTCTGTTTTGTTTGAGAAATTAATAGATTTAAAATATTTTTAACCAATAATTTTCATTAATTACTTATCTGTAGGATAAACAATATGATACATTTTGGAAGGGACTGGTTTGTCTCCTCAGCTAATTTTTCAGTCTACTGATAATTTTGATCACTATCTTAGGAGTATTGTAAAAACATGGAAATTCAAATGTGTAAATCCTGACTTGTTGTCCTTAGAGAGAAATCTAGTTTTCACAATTGGTACAAGGATATTGCTATGATAAATGAAAAGACTTACTATAACATTTATAAGTTAAACATTACTTACTTTCCTTATTACTTCAACTACACTTAAATAAGCTTCAGTTTAGATTTAAGAATCAAATAGTTTTGTTTTTAGACTAAAATGATATTGTTTGTGATGGATCAGAGAATTCACTGGTATATTTAATTCTTTTTTGTAAAAATTGTTAATTTCAAAGGGAAAAATGTTATAAGTTAATTCTGTTAATCTAACTAATAAAATCTTATCTTATACTAAATTATCAGTAAAATTGATTCATCTATATACTAATTTTATAAAATATATATATTCAAGCAATTATGTTAATTTAAAAATTTATTTTTCTTTGTTTATTTATTGTTTAACAGAAGATTTAAAATGTAATTTTGATTGATGAATTACTCAACACTGCTTTGTGTACTTTGATGTACAGTGAAACCTGCTAATATGATCACCTGTGTAAGATGACCACTTTGAGCTGGTCCCTTCAATTACAATTACAAATTACATTAGCAGGCTTTATTGTAATTTTGACTTAAAATTTTGATTTTATGTAACCCACCAACATAAGTAGTCCATATAGTTTAATACAAAACTGAAATTGAAATTACATATCTGTAATTAAATATGACAGTTGCTTTTATTTTAATTTACAGTTTGAAGATTTTGTTTAGATGAAGTTGAGAAATTGTAACATGAAATTGTTTAGATTAAATTAGAATATTTTGTCCTATTGATGATTGATCAGAGAAACCTCCTTTTTCAAGTAGTTAGTTTACTGATTGTAATATTTAAATGAAACTTCAATCTAAAGATTATATATATATATGTTCAAACAACAGAATCAAATATCAACAGAATCAAACGGCTATAAATTAGCATTAAACATCATAATATGCATTCTGTACATTTGACTAGAGTAACAAATAAATAATCAAATAAAATTTATTTATTTTACTTAAAATTAAACATTAAAAATTTATTTAATGGTTTTGATCTTTAAAGAAATAATCTTTGTGAAAATAGAAATTACTTAATTATTTAACAAATGAAATGAAATGAAAGAACAATAAAAATAAAATTTACTTACTGGAATAAAATGAACAAAAGTACAAATTCTTCGGATATTTTTCTCTAATAAAAATAAAAAAAAAATATAGAATGCAAAATCAGACAGTATTTTTTTTTAACTAAAAATCATTAAGATTTTAAAAAGAAATAAAATGAAGTATTTTTAAACATAATATATTGATAAACAATAAAGAATATAATGATAGAAATATATACTGAACAATGTAAAAATAATGAAATAAAAAAATAATTTTAGAAATATTTGTACATTTATAAATTTTAAACATAAACATAATGGAGTCTTTATGATTAATTCATAAGAATTCCATTATATTGTATTTTAATCTTTTATTTTACATTTTCAAAAATAAAAAAAAATATTTCACTAAAAATGAACCAGCTGCTAAGTTCAAATTATTAAATCATATTTTTGATAAAAAATAAAATTGAGTTAAAACTGAAAATTTTAAATCTTATTTTTTAATGTAATTTTTAATGTCTTTCTTTTATGGCAATGCCACAATTACTTGTTAAATAAAATTTTTTTTTTTTAAATATCAATAATTCAAACATCAATGCTTGAATTGAAATCTTAATCTACAACCTAGAAAACAAGAACTAACATCTTAAGAGTCTGACATTTTGCTTAATCAATCAGAAGTTTTTATGTATGTGAAAGTTACAGTCTATTGTCTGTTTAGACTGAAGACATAAATCAGGTTCTTTTAAAATCTCTTTGAAATCTGATAGCTAAAATAAAAATAAAAATTCTTTTGCAGTTTGCCAAACTATTTAAACTGGCAGAAGAGCAAATGTTAAAAAATTAATGTAATTAAACTTTTACCATAATTCAGTGTGTTCATGTAATTGAAATCCTAAATTTATTGGATTTATCTTGAAATATAGACCTCTCTCTGTGAAGTAGATACAATATTTCATGGATTGTTATTACTCAACTCAGTGTCATGTTATTAGAAGTCGTTTTGTATTACAATATTTCTGTTTTATTACAATAGAAATTAGATTTAAGAGTTTTAAAAAATCTGTTAAGGTTTTTAGACTAAGCAAACAATAGATTATAATTTTATCAATTGACAAGAAGATCAATTTAATTAGTAAAAATTTAAATTTTAAATTTTTTTAAAAGAAGTTTTTTAATATAAATTTTCATTTAATATTCTAACAATTCAAAAATTATAAATAATAGAGAGTATCTTATAGACTTAAAGACAACTTTAATACGTTTCAAATGAAAAATTCTATATATGTAATAACTATAAAATTTTTAATTAAAAATACATATGGTGTTAAGATATTAAAAAAGTAAAAGCAACTATTGATAATTAAGATATTATAAGATATTTCTAACTAAAGCACAACTAATAATAATAATAATTTATAATATTTTACTATTCAAATTAATACAAAACATATTTTGGAAAAGAAAAAAATGTTTGTATTCATCGAAGAAAAACTTTTGAATTTTTTCTATTTTTCTAAATCCTTTAGATTTATTATAAAAAATGATTAAAGCAGACAATCATCATCTTTGAAAATATGGAATATATCAATGGTTACTGAGGTGCATTTGAAAAGCATGGCAGGCCCTCTTTGATACATTATGAAAAACAGTTTTAGGATGTTTACACTTGGATGCATCCTATTGGTCAATTCTAGATTTTAAATTTGAATTTAGCTGTGAGCTCTTCTGCATTCAAAATATTAGATCATCAAGACATTAGAAGTTCCATCTGTTTGAAATTTTTCACCTGAAGCAGGTCTTAGAAGAAGACCGAAAATGTTCATTTTTTTGAAAAATCAGCTGGGTGAATATCAAGATAGTAAGGTTTTACATTACAGGTTACTGTTTATTGATTATTCTAACAGTTCTAAGGAAATGATGCTTTAAATTACCTAGAGATGAATTTGAACAGCATATATTAATTTAAAAAATTCTTATTTGTAACAAGACTTTTCCAATAAAAAAAATCTCTAAAATTTTATATTTTTAGATTAGTTTCTTTTATTAAAAATCTTACATTTTATTATATAATTTAACTTAATTTAATGTATTTTTTCACCACTTTCTTCAAATCTTCATAAACCACATCGTTAATGTTGCATTTAGTGTTTTCTAATTTTGCAAATTTTTAGGTTTTAATGCATAAAAACTTGATCCCTAGATGAATTTTCACCCAATGTTTATAGAAAACAGAAATGTACTGTATTTCATGTTCAATGGTTAGAAGAATTAAAAAAGTACAATGAATTATCAAAATCATTTTGCTGCATTATGATAGCATGAAGATACATTCTATTTTTTTGCACCTTGGCAACCATTGCTGGATTCAGAGACTGGCATAGCAAATATAGTAAAGTGATGTCACATCAATTTTTGAAGTTCACTACAGATTTTATGGTCCAAATACAGTATTTATATGCATTACAAACACAGACATTATGACAACAAGTACAAAACATAAACGAAAGTATTTAATACACAATAGTGGTGATGATATTGATGAAGCTGTGTTTCTTTGTTTCAAACTTTGAAACTGGAGTGATGAAGACACATAAAATCCTCAACAGGAAACAAACAAGTATCCTTGACACATTCAAAAGAGAACTTTAATGGATTACCCAATAGGTGCTCCTAGGGCCTTGATTTTTTGAGAGACCTCAAAGGTTACACAGAAAAACATTACGACTCAAAAAATTTACTGAACATTTAAAAATCTCTAAAATAACTTATTATTTAAAGATTTTATTGACTTTTTAATAAAAAAAAACAATTTTATATAAAGATCTTATAACAAAATTGCATCTAGGGCCTGAAAGGAACGTAATCTGCTACTGTTTAATGCTTTACTATCTTTGTGTAAAACACGTCTATAGTTGCTGATTGTTGTACATTATCTTGGATGCACATTTATACTGGAAATATATGTTTTTCTTCACTTTATCCATTCTAAATGCATTTACATATGCATTTGAACATTGAAACAGTCTAGCATGTTTTTAAGAAAGTTTGGCTTTTACATATTTTGTGATTTAACATATTTTTTCATTGGTTTTTTGAAAAACATTAAACTGAGTTTATACTGTAATTTCACTACTATATTCAATAAGTTTAATTAATTCTACATCAGTTTTTTATTAATTATTTTTTAAATTTAATTTATTAAATTATATTGTAAAATTAAACTTATATTAATTATCAAACATTGTTCTTTCAAACTGACTGGGATATTGGAGTGCATGTAAACAATTTATGGGTGGCAAAAACATTTCATGAAAATATAATGTAAAATAATCTAATGTAAAAAATGTCAGAATTTTTATAAGAGAAGATGAACCAAATAATTTGAAATGGACTATGTATTTTTTGAGGTTATTAAATATATTTGTGGGAAGATTATATAATTATGTAGTTGAAAAATATATCATTATTTCTTATTTATGATGTTAGATTCATGCAAGAAATGATCTGTGTGGTTTGAAAGCCCTGAAGGTTACATTTTAGTTTATGAGTTTAATTACTACAAATAATAATTTATTAAGTTGCATAGACCTCTGTAGTTTAATAAATTATTATAGGCATCAATTAAAACTAAAATTATAAACTAGATGTGACATATATCATTAACAGAAATATAACTATTCAAATATATTCAAATATGAAGAATATACATGAGTATATACAGATGTTAAAATTAATTTATTTATTTATCAATGGAATGAAAATCTGTTTTGTAGTCTTCATCAATAAATAATTGATTAAATAAATGGCAAACTTAATCTTAAATTGCTATAAACAAATTTCTTTCTTCAAAACAAGTTTTATATTTTAAAATTATTTTCTATCAGAATTTAAGTAAATTTTGTTTATTTTTTAATTAGTTTCATTTTGTTTAAATATCTCAATAATTATTTTGTTTTATACAAAGCTACAAAAAAAACCAAATAACCAGCAGAAAAAAATGGGAAGTGCTAATATTTTCACATGTATTGAACAGGCATCCTCAGGCTAACTAATCCTGCAGCTGCTGAAATAATGGGGAACTGCCATACATGTGTGAAAAAGGGGACTAATGTAAGTAAGAAGGAGAGTGAGAGGGGTGAGGAAAATAAGTTTACAGTTAGAAGAAAGACTTCCATGCTGTGGGGAAGGTGCCTATATCATGAAAGTTAATAGCAGTATTTTAGTGGGCAGCCTTATAAATTTCAACTCATTCTAGATGTCTGAGAAAAGGTTGCTGGGAAGAGCTACATATGAGGTGTGCACAGTCAAAATGGGTTTTATCTTTTACTTTATTTGAAAGTTCTCATCATAATTATTTGTTTTACTCTGAAGCTTTTGACAAATAATCATCATAACATTTTTTTTCTAATTTTACTTACTTTGCAAACTACAATAATAATTTCTGGAATCCTATGAAATTATATTTCTTAATCCAAAAATTTTAGATATAAAGTTTATTTTCTTGGTTGAATAGCCAAGAAAATAATGTATTAAATATAGCAATACAATGTTACATTTGCTTTAAATTTTCTGAAAAAATAAATACTTATATGAATGTGTACATTTTTTGTAATTTTTATAAACCATGATAGAACAAGATTATAAATATTTAAAAAAAAAAAATCTAATTGTTTCAATATTTGTTATTTTAAAATTTTTTTTATCAAAAACAATATAAATAATTAAAGCTTATCATTAGTGCTTTATTACAATATGCTCAATATCATAAAGCAGCATGTATTAAAATTCAAATATTTTAATCTTTTAATAAATATAACAAATTATTAATAAATAGCTTAACATTTATTTTCATCATAGTTTTGTTCTGCACCACATTGTTACAAAGCATGATTATGAATATTTATTAATTATGAATTAATCTTTTATATTCTTTAATTAATAATAAGCAAGAAAAATTTCTAAACTTCTGTTTAATAAATTTACAAAAAAAAATTTATTTAGGAAATTTAATAAATTCATATTTAGAAAAAACAGGCTATTGCCTATTACTGTAACAGGCTATTGCCTATTACGTTAATAAACATTCTATTCTATTCTATTCTATTTAGAAAAAAAATGAAAATAATTATTTTACCTTTGATAATTTATGAGAAATAAAATAAAGTTTGTTAAAATTTCTGAAGTTTGCTTTAAGATACAGAATAATGCAATAATGTGTCCAGATAAAAGAATTGGCTTTTCTCTAAATTTAAATAATTTTCAGAAATAAAACAAATTCCAATGTAGATCAAGTTTCTACTGCAAAATTAATTTAAAATGAAAACATTCCAAAAGAAAGAAGAAATTCTTAAAATATTCAGTAATTATACTTATTACTTGATAATTATTTTTACAATAGTATCAATTTTAAATTAGATTTTATGACTTCTCAGTAAGACCATGTTAAGCTTTAATTTCTTGAATATAATATATCAAGTTATCTTTTGCTTCACTCTTGTTCTTTACAATTTAACAATGACAAAATGTGNCCACAGAAAGTAAAATTCTAATTGTAGATGTTCTACAGACTGGCTCAGCAAAATTCTCCTTCTTCATAAGGTACTTGGAATCCTCTTGCCACTAACCTGTCCTTCTTTGTACCATCTCCTTTCATTTTAAATATTCATTTTGCATCTATAGCTATCTGGCTTTCTGGCAAATTTACAGGTGTTCACATTTGAAGTTTCTGATGAGAGTCTAATCCTTTCTCTATAGTTTTCCTCCACTCTGGTAATTTGCATGCTTCCTGATATGTTTTAGGCCCATCTGTTGATGATAAACAATATGTGTCAAAAAGTATAAATACACAATATAAAAATATCTATGACTAATCACTAATTGCATGGCTCAAGAGAGTATGAAATTAATTTTGCAAAGTCTATTGAGTATAATATATATCCTGTATGGACCATATTATTATCTTGAGAAAAACAATCTTTTCTATTATGTAAAGGTAAAGAATTTTTATATAATTACTTTCTGACACAACTAGAAAATTATCACTTAAAACAATTTTATAAAAATATAAATAAATAAAAAACAATTATGCCAAAAACTAATTATGATNTTTATCTAAATTTGCTGTTTGATTAATAAATGACTCATTCAAAAATGTGATAAAGTATTCTTATATTCTGATAAAAAAAAATTAATTAAAATTTTTACTTTCCCAGCTCTGTTATATACCCATATAACAGAGGGAAAGTATGGCAATCAGTTAAAAAATAATCTAAGATTTTTACATTGTTGGACTTGGGACTTTGAAATGTCAAGAAATGCAAAAACTTCAGGGGTTTTTCTGTATGTATAGATGTGTGTATGAGGGGGGACAATTTTGCTCACCCACTTTGAAGCTTAATAACTCCTGTGTCTTTTGTCAATAATTTCTGAAATTTTGCAGGGAGGTTTGTGTATTAGGGGATTAAGATTAATGCTATTAAATTTTGGTGGTTAAAGGTCAAAGGGATTGGGAAATAGAAGAGGATAATGTGTCCTATCTCAAGTAGGATCGAACTTCATGAAAATTTTACTTGTTATTAGTATTTATAATATTTTATAAAACTTTTTTTTTTTATGGTAACTGAGGAAGATCAGTTAAAAACAATCAAAAATGTTTTTTATTTTTATTTGCTGGAGTGTTAAAGGTGTGTTTTTTATCATATTTATTTATCCAATATGTATAATATATGAGGACTAGTGATGTGCCGGTATCCGTATCCGTATCCACATCCGCGGATATCCGAGGGAAAAAAAAGATCTGTATCCGTGTCCGTTACTTTTTAGCAGATCTTTAGCGGATCTTTTATCTTAATGAATTTCATTACTTATATGAAATTTTAAAGATAGGTAGCAATAGCACATTCGTCATTTCAATTCAAATCACTTTTTATTTCTTAAAATCACATATTTGGCACATTCATATTGCAAAAATTTTATCACACAAAAATCATTTACTATCATAAAATATTTCCATATTACACTACTAAACTTTTTTGTCGACATTGTTTTTATTTTAATTTAACTCAACACTCTCCAAAAACACAAACGTAATCTATGCTATCCCGTGTCACACTAACCACAAACCAGTGTTTCTCAACGTGGGGTCCATGTTCCACAAGGGGCAATTGGATTGCTAAGGAGGGCAATTCGAAAATGGACTTGTCCAGAGTTTAAGTTAACCATATAGCCGCTATATATATTAGGGAGACATAAGAATTTTAGAAAGGCTCAGGTGGCGCATAGCACAAAAAAGGTTGGGAAACACTGCACTAAACTATTGTGGCGGTACGCTATATTTATGTAAATATTAATTTTAGTTTAGTTTCGTTTCTTCTTTCTACCCTTTGTTCTATTGTTCTATTTTCTTCTAGAACTTTCTTATCTATTCCCTGTCCCTTGGGTGGGATGAGCAGTTCCTAGAAATTTGAGGAGCAAAGGTGTAAACAGGAGCCGGAGAAAAAAGAGAAGTGACGTAGCAGGTCATTCGTAAACCGGACGGCAGAGTGTACGGACGAGGTGAGAATACTGGGAGTCGTATTTTCAATGACCGGATAGTTCAGAAATAAGTTCAGAAAAAAGATCCTGTTTTAAGGTCGTATTGACGACTGTGGAAGGAAAAATCCTAATTATTGAAGAAGAGAACTGGCCAGTTATAGGAGAAGGACGTGTGTTATCCCACCCAACAGTACGCATAAAGAAACAAGCCGAAAAAAGGGACAAAACCCCAGATATCCCTATTTCTATCTTATCTACCATTTTTTCTGTCTTCTTAATTCTATCCCTTTTTCTGTTATTAGTGTTAAGTTAGTGTTTAAGGTTAGTTTTAAGGTTCCGGGTTATATTGTCGCGATCGGGATCTGTATTGTACACGTGCTTTGAATACAGCAAACTATTATTATCGCTGTAATTTCGCATGCTACTGTTTGTACCGTGAAGTTGGAATCCCCTGAAATAGAATCTGTATAAAGACGCGAAATAGCTTAATTGGAAAATTATATCAACTTTTGTTACTTTATCCTGTCTTCCTTTGCTGTGAATTCTAATTTAGCACACTTTTACACTATAAACTAAAACACGTGCAGTGCAAGTCAAAACATGTCGCGTTATTAACGCAAAGCGTCAACTATTGGTCCAAGGTCACATGCACCAGCACCGACTGAGTACGAAAGTTGAGATCTGTATCCGTATCCAGACACTAATGATCCGTATCCACATCCGCGGATATACAGTTTTAACGATCTGGCACATCACTAATGAGGACACATAATTCAGAGGTTTTTATGTAATGCAATTTTAGCAGCAATGTCACAGTTGGAAGGCTCTGTTATAAAGTGGGATGAAAGAAACATTATTAAAAAAGGTACATTCTCCAACCATTGCTATATGTAAAAAATAGATATATACAAGAGCAAGGCCAAAAAACAGTGCCTAAACACAAGGGATGCAAATGCATTATCTTTAGCTTGGAAATAAATCATTGAAAAAAGATAAAGACATAAAAACCCCTAAATTATGTGGACTTTCTATGGGAAACTGGCCCCTATTTAAGCATTACAAACCTGAAGAAAACCAGAAAACTCCATGTGGCTAAACTGTTGGCAAGATCCCAGAACCAACTACCAATGTTCAGTGGCTTCATGCACTTGGCTGCTGATGGGCTCTTCTAATAATTTGATTAAAATTTAATGCATATATTTTTGTAAATTTATTACATTTAAGTTTGTCTGGTCTGTAATTATATTATTTTTAAAGTTACTAAAAATTTTCAATAATTTAATATCAATGCTTCATATAATATGTTTTGTTTATAATTGAATATTAATTTTTATATTTAATACATATAGGCATATTTCACTTTTGCCAATATTTTCACAAGTTATACAGTTTATGATTTTATTGATTAAATAAATATGCAATTATTATTAAAATGAAGAAAAATATTAGTTAATAGTTTTTACTTATGTAATTCTCCTTAAATGTCAATACAAACTGGATTTCAAAAACAAAATATCTTGTAATTATTTATTGAAAAAGATTTGTTATATGTTATGGTCTCTGTAAATTTTTAAACATTAAAAATATAATTTTGTCTGTATTCAAGTTCTTTTTTTACAAAAAATTCTATATATTTTTATTATTCTTTTATAATTAATTTTTACAAAAATAGAGAATTTAAAGATCATTTCTTGAAATAAAATATCTAACAGAATCATACTATGATGAGTTACTTGATATAGATTGAAAATACTAAAAATAATCTTTAAACATTCCTTAATGGTTTCTAAAAAATATGATGATGATTTAAATTTCTACAAATGAATTAGTTAATATAATTGTTATTGGTGTAATGTGTATAACATTAACAATTACTTACAATAAGCATTTTCTTCTATAATTGTTTTGAGTAGTAAAATTAACTAAATAATAATTATTTCAATATCACATGTTAGTAATTTATAATCATATTAGTCATGTTTAGTTATATGTAATGTAAATGATGAAATACTTATCTGAAGATCTTTTTTTTTTCCTAGAAGTATTTTCTTATTTTTCATAGGCTATTTTAGATATTTATGATTATCAATTTTGTGTAATTGATAATGATTTGATTTAGTCAAACCTAAATTCACAAATTAAGAATGTGTTACTTCTCTAATTTTTGATGAAATTAAATGTTTGATTACAAATTTTTTCCAAATTTCTTAACTTCTGCATAGAAGTTATGAAATTTGGAAAAATGTATGGAATTTACATTTGCTGTTATGGAAATAAATGGGAACAATCTGAAGCTGTGTAAAATAATGTAATATCATTACTTAGTTGAATGTAAATACATTCACACGACTATATTCATTAAAGAGATTTTTCAGCAGAAATAGCTATAAGAAAATTAAAAACCTAATTTATTGTCTTTTAAATAAAAAAAATTCAAATTTAT